GCAATGAATTATATGTTTCGTATTTTCACTGGTGTCTTGCAGTGCTATTTTCTTCTGAATCCAGCAAATGCACATACGTTAATGGTAAGTCTTTTGGATCGCAATGTAAAAAAACGTTTGTGATATAATATATCTCAATATAATATAACAGAAAAAAGCAAGTTTATTTTTTTATAAAAAAAAATAACAAAAATTATCTGCTACTAAGCTAATAATGAGACTAACGTATCAAACGGTATACACACGGTAATTCAATTTGATCGAAATACTGAAGTAATTTGAAAACTGGTTTTGCAAAGTTTGAAACATGTTGTTGCATGTTTTAAGTCATCGATTTAAGAAACGGTACATTCAATAATATGATAAGGTTAACATTGAATTATGTTTAATGTTACACTGCTCTGACATATCAGACATAGTATATCGTACCGTATTGATAATTTCTACTAAAACGTTTGACGGCATTTTCTATGTTAAATAATACAAAAATATTCTGTTTAAATCTTTTTAAAGCAAATCATTACAAACAAACAACGCTAAAATACCTAATACTTACAAATAAACTGTGCACTTGATTCGATCGCCGACTTTCCATGCATCTGCATTTTTTGCACTGAATTTGCTTCCTCTTACACTAAATTATAGATGACATGTTTAAACAAACGAATATTGTATTTTTTTTTAAAAAATCATAGTCCTTTGAATCCATTTCGTAGAAATGAGAATACAGCTATGTTATTATATACATAAAACTTTTAACTCTAGGCAGTGCTTTTATAAGAGAAACGTTTTTTATTGTTTTTTTTTTTTTTTCAATAATATTTTACATTGATACTGAATTGAAATACATTGCTGTTAGCAGTTAGTTCACTGTAATTTAACTTGTCAATTTAGCTCATTATTGTGTGTGTAAAGACATGTACCTCCTTTATTCGGAACAAAAATGCATCGGAAGGTCTTAAATTACATAAAATATTTCAAAATTGAGTATTTGATGCAGACGGAAAACTTACTGTTTAAACGTATGTGTTAACTTAATTGCAATTGTAAAACACAATTTGAATAGAATTATACAGAAAAGATGCTTATACTGCAGAAAAACTGTCACGATAGTGTAAAATTCTCAAACATTAATTAAAATAATAAAATTATAAGAAACGAGACTAAGTTAAACATTCATAACATACATTTAATAAGAATATGGTTGTAAAATTTCTTGGAAACGAAAACTCCGTTTTCTTAACATTTTCAAAACGGAGAATCCGTAACATGATAATCATAGAAATATACTTTTTGTTATTTATTGTCAGCAGTAAGTTTTATTCTAAATCATTTAACTGTGTTGAATCTATAAATACACATAATGAATAATTATTGAATACAAGCACTCAATGCATATTTATATTTGAGGAAAACTACCGAGTGGTGGGAAGAACAGTTTTGTTTTAACATGTAGAGAAACTAAAATATGCAACTAGGATACATCTCATGTGAAACATTTGAACCTTAGTCTGCTAAAAGCTCATGCTTAAACAAAGTTGACACCTGATACTTTAACATCTGGTCAAGAACCAAGCAAATGACAATATTTCCAGCTAAGGTTTTAACTATAGTTTGCTAAATAATGCATTTTTTGTCCATATATTACATTTTAATTCGTAAATAGCTCTAAAGGTTATCGATATGATAAAAAAGCAAATAAAAGTTCTTTTTTTATTAACCCGTTTCCAAATTTAATGATGTAACTATATATTCATACTACTATTTTCTTTCAATCATACACACATCAGTAAGACAGAACAAAATAATACATATTTAGACAATAAAGTTGTCGATACGTACTTGTCGTTTGAATAGTATCCATAGGAATTTTCGCCTACGCCCGGTAGAAGATTGTCAGGATAGTTATCTGGCACTACACCAATAGCTAGAATATAAATATATACTTCACATTCTACGTTTTTATTCAATCTTTATGTACGTAACGGAAATAAAACAACAAACGTTTCCAACTAAAATTGAAAGTGTAAATTAAAACTTTTCATTTATGGTATTAAATTTCTATTCAATAAGAACAATTCATGAACAAAAATTTATTTAAAACAAAATAGTGCTAGACATAGCATTGCAAGAAAGAAAAACACGTTATATAAAATATGTTATTGTAACAGTAATGTTAATATTTTTTAACACCATATACATCAAAAATATAGATGTCGTTCTATTAAAATCATAATGATGCAATCATTGATATGTACCAGCAATACTGCAATTACTTATCATATATCTACAAACTGACTTTACAAGCCAGTTGAATATTTACACAATAAGTATATTGTTTTTACCTAACGACCCGCTTTTACCCATGCTTAATATCTCAATTTCAAAGAATAATCCCTCACGCACATTCTCCTTGAACACATACAATCCAATAGCATTACTTCCGTATTCGGCATAACTGTAAACAAATAATGTGAAGACGTATTAGTATTAAGCATACATTTGTTACAAATCATTAAGAAAGAACTGTAACAGTTTATAATTCTGAATGCATTTGAACTGAATTTTGTGTGTTTTACAATGTTTCTTTCGCTGGTATATCAAATATCGTAAAATTTTAGTAATTATAATTATTATTTGATGAAAATTCCACGTTAGTAATTTTAAAAGTTTATTTAAAGTGCTGATGATTATCTTGTTATAATAATTATTCACGATGGTTTCTCTAAATTTGTAGTGGAAATCTGAAAATAGTGTTTTGAAGCAATACCTTATTGTTCACAGAAACAAATAAATATATATAAAACTTTAAACTCGGTATTGCTTTATTTTAATTTAGAGCTTATATAATAAGCAAGCGGATACCATATGCATGTTCATACCCCTTTTAACTTAATTTTATACAATCATGTAAAATTTCTAAATCACAACATTAATAAATGTGTCAGATTTTAATAATGTTTTATGTATAATAAAGGCCTTTAAGCGTTATTTGTATTTGCATATTAAGAGTACCGTGAAAGATATATAAAATTGAATTAAGAAAAAGTCATCATTTACATTGAAGTTGTATATATACCTGAGACATTCGCCATCTATTTTTAGATTTCTGCAAACTAGTTTCCTGTCATGTAATGGCTGTAAATGAAACACATAATTAATTGATTAACGACAATTTCATAAACAACTGTTAAATCTGTTTTAATCTTTATCTTAAAAAAATCTACAAGCAAAAAGTACATGTTGTATTATTTTGTAAAACATATTTTATGTTTTAGCGTGATCTAAAATAAGCAAAAACTGTAGTTAGATATACATTGATTTGAATTGAACCTTCTTGTAACCCTCTTCCGCTCAGTTGGTGCTTATAAGTACCCAGAGCCGTGTACATATGATGTCGTTATACGTTAGATGCAGAGATAATCTCCCCCTTTTGTTTCAAAATTGGTTTGGAGGAATACGATTGTTACGACGTGATTTGTTATCATCGAAAGTTGCAAGCGTTTTAAACACCCCAGCATTTTTTAATTATTTTAACATGGATGGTTGTTTGTACATATTAACTTTTTTAAGTCATAACATAAGAAGAGTTCTGGTTAAAGAAAAGATGTACAATACTATTCATTCTTATCATTATTTTTCTTTTTAGATTATTACATCTATTGAATACATGACTTTTTCTGATATTAAAAAACATACGAATTCCTTTAGTTTTGAAACTGACTTGTTGCATTTGAAGTGTATACCTTATCAAATTAATTGATAAATCAAATGAATATAAAATAATATAAATGATTTTTTTTTAAATTATTGATGAATTCGTTTAATTAATAAATGTAGGTTATCACTTATAATCGTTTATAAATGTTGAATGAATCGTACCATAAATTAACGTATAGTTATCTGAGATATATTCTAACAGTGATGCCAATTTGTATGCATACACTTTTCAAATATGGCCCATTTAGTTATCTAGCATTTATTTAAACAAGCAAACAAAAAGGTTAACAACTATATGCTTAAACCAAGGCAATTTTGTTGGAACAAAATAATCGTAATTTTATGATTTTATTTTGTTACCACGGAGACACAAAACATCTCAAATAATCAAACTTTCATACTTAATTGGTCACTTTATTATACAATAATCTAAACACTAGATTATTTGACATATGTATATCCTAAGCAAACATTCGCTAGGCTGAAACAGTCCAGTTAAATCGATTTTTCGAAGAGGTGGATTAGGGTTCTAACTTGTAGGTAAACTGCGATTAACTTTCATTTTATCTGAATGATGCATTTTGCAATCTATGAGCATTGTTTTATAATGAAATGTATTTAACAGATATTCATACATATGAATAATGACACTTTTAACCAACCGAAAGGCATTTTAATATTTCCTGGATTTATAAATGATTCAGTTATTTTAATTTGACAATCTAAACTGTCTTGATGATCGGTGCCTTGTTATACGAAAACTACACTAACACTAATTTATTATACCTAATGCCAAGATCGCCAACAAATATTTCATACAACGACACATGAAAATAATTAATATAACTTTATTTATTTATCACAAAATCAAATGGTGGTCGTCATTTATTGCCTGATTGCCGAAAAATGTGTAAATATACAGTAATTACAAGGACCAATCTTTAGATGACACTTAATTTCATAAAGCATATTTCTGATAAGAAATTAAATAACTCACTTGAAGCTTTTGGTTCGCTACTGCCCTCGTCGTGTCTTCTCTTTCATATGCCACTGCCAATTCTTTCTCTATTACAATTACACGTTTCAAGATTAATTAAATTTTCTTCTAGACAAGTGTTCACAGTTGTATGATAATAGCTTACATTAAGACGATTGAAAAACTTAAATGCTAGTAATGAAATCTGAATATGTTTGCTATGAAACTTCATTGATATGATCACCCGTGTGAGTTGAATTTAATATAAAGAAAGTGAATGGTATTGAGAAATAATATCACTTACCAGTCTGTTTGGTTCTGCTTTCACTCTTTGCATGCTTTATAATAAATAAAGACGCTATGTAAACGGATAATTGCCAATATTTATCATCTTATTAGATTGACTTCTTTAAATTTGAAAAGAAAATGCGACAGTTGTATTTACAGCTTTTTCAAGACAAATTCTTACCAATTACCAAGAACAACAAAAAACGTCTTATCATGATGACAAAAATTATGAATGTATCCAAGAAACGTTCTGGTATAAGAACTTATATAACAAAAACAAGTTCATGATTATACAGCTTTGGATATCAATAACCTTTTTTTAAATAGTCGTTATATTATGAAATAAATTATAAATAATAAATAAATAAATAAATAAATAAATAAATAAATAAATAAATAAAAATTGATTAATTAATTAACGAATCAATTAATTAATTAATTTCTTAAGATAATGAGAAAGAAATACGTAAAGCGATTTATTCTAGTTATTTCTTTTTCAATGTTTACAATGCTAAAACACATTCACGTTTTGCATGAAATACCCTGTTTGCCTTACAACAGTTTTGTGCTCACTTTTATGTGCCCTGTCCTGTACAAACAATGACTTATTTGTCATTGTATCGGCTAATTAGGTTTTGGGAATTGTGTTAAAATGTTTTAAATTTACTACTTTGTGTTCCATTCCCCACCCCCACCCCCCCCCCCCCCCCCAAAAAAAAAAAATATTACCTTAGTCCGTAATAACTATACTATACAACACACGATTGCAATATAAAATACTCAATTCTAATAAGTAGAGTCAGCAAACATCCAGAAGTTTTACGTGTCCAAGTAAACATAGTTGATTATTATTTTGTTGTGAACAATAATATTGACTTGTGGTCAATACGCCAGGAAGAAAGTTTTATGTTTTAAACTTTAGAGTTTTATTATTATCTTTCTCCCTAATGTGTGTTTGTTCAGATTGCAAGTTTAAACGTTTCATTTGTACAATCTCAAAATAACTACAATGAGTTTTTTTAAATGAAAATTCTTATATCGACTTGCCTGAGGTAAAGGATCTTGAACTTGAAGTAAAGGATCTTAAACTTGAGGTAAAGGATCTTGAACTTGTATATTATCAGTCGGATTAGTTTGCCTCAATTCATCTTGATGTTGTTGAACAAAAAAGTATAAATGCTTTATATACACTGAAGTAACTGATATCTTGTTTTTTGTCTAAAATGCATATTAAACTGAATTGAGTATGCATGCATAATGACCTTTATGACATGACATTACCTGAACAACGAGTGGCAAAAAGAAAAAAAAAACACGCCCTTTTCCACATCAAACTCAACTAAAATAGAATTGGATTCCGTTAAAAGATTACTACAGATACATTGAAATATTTAGCATTGACGACAAAAGCAACGCAGTTTTAAGCATGCTTCTCTTGTTTATATATTATTTATCATAAAATTGCAATGTGTGAAAAATAATAATGATAATAATGAAATAAAACTTACTATTTTCTGACTGTTTAATGAGCGACCCAATCACCTTGCTTTCTTTAATTGATTCAGCAAGTTCTTCGTCACGCTTGAATTTATACTGAGTCACTATGTTTTCCTTTTTTACAATATCAAAATTTCTCTTTGTCTTTTTCAAAAACGACTTTACTTGCAGAGAAGCTACGAAAAACTTGTTCGGCTGATTAATTCTTGATTCTAGCATATTGTTTTGACGTGACAATTCTGCAATTAAGTCATCGGTCTGCTTCTGTAGATCGTCCATTGTTTTCTTGTCGTTCAACATAACCTCCTTTGCCTGATTCAGAACGCTAGATTTCATTTTTTGTATACGCTCAATTACATGATCTGCGAATGCCTCTACGTCACGAACAAATTGCTCATAGAATTTGGCAATCTGTTGTCTGTTGATCACAAGTAATAAGGAACTATCTTCAGCCTCTTTCGTGCATCTAGTTATCTCTTGTATGATATTTCTAGAATCTTGGCTTGTACTAAAGGCAGCAACTTTGTCCCGAATGAATTCCAACTTGCATTCATTATGATTTAAAACGCCACATTCTCCACAGCAAACCTGTTCGTGCTTTGGACAATAAAATTTCACGAATTCTCCATTGTGCTGCTGACATGTTTCATACGAATCATCAGCCGTTATTTTCACTGAATTTGAATCGTCAAGTTTTACCAAGGAATGATTTCTACTAATTTTACGTCCTTTATGTTTCACAAAACATGAATTGCAAAAGTAAACTTCACATTCTACGCAAAACCCATCGGCACAAGTTGTTATATCAAAATCTTCGCAGAAACTACACAGTGTATCATCTTTGTCTTTCATACACTTTTGGCCAGATACTTCCATAATTCTGCAAAAAAACCGTACCTACAAATCACCAAATATAAATGAATTCATACATATTTTACTTTACATCTGTATGACCTATTTTGCAGCCTTTGAGTATCAATTTTTATCATTGAATTATCTTCTATATAAACAAATATATCTATATGACAACACATAATTAGCCGTATATGTCAATTGTTAACAATCTTGATATTGTCATTAAATCGGTGAAAAAAAATTGTTCTCATGTAGAATTGTAATAAAATCATTGCTAATGAAATCAATATGACACAACTTCCATTTAAGAATATCTAAAACTAGTTTTGTATTCGTTTGTTTGGCTTGAAATCTATTTTTAACATTGAAATATCATTATAAATGTAACAAGGGAAACACTAGTCAAGCACCGTACATTTATTTGATATTCTATATAATATATATTCAATTTATAATATATGTTTTATGGCATCTAAGAGAAAAACATTTGAATATCAGTCATATAAACCATGTTCATAAAATGTAGTTGTGAAATCTTTTTAAAAGTTCACTATACATGTATACATACACGTAATCATATAAAACTTATTGCATCATATTTAATGCTTTATGTTTGATTTTAAGTAAAACAGAACACATGCTATTAAGGTATTGTTTTATCTCTTAAATTTGTGTAAAACAAAATAAAATGATTTGGAAAGATGTGACTGATATACACAGCATTGCATTCCCACAGCAAAACAACGTTTTCCATTTTTGAAGGTGACGATATTCATAATAAATATAATAATTCTTCATAATTATATATTTTTATAAATTTATAAAAGATAAAATAGGTTCATTGCAAAGTACGAATTGTACAGAGCCCCTAAGGTGATATTTTCGGCACTTTTTTCCCGGCATTTAATTCGTTTTCACGAAATATTATTTCGTACCAACACAGTAAATTTCATAAGGCGTCGTTCCAACTTTACAGGCGTGGGAATACCAGTTCCCTCTAAATGTATTATTTCAGGCTCGAACGGGTACCTGAAGAGAACAACCGACGTTCCTTGTGCCAGCTTGAAAGCTTACTCATCGAAAAGAAACAAAAATCCTAACGGAATTCAGACCCACATTGGTGTCTCCTACTCGAAACACCGTTGACTTCTTGTAAAATGTCTAAAATATATATACTAATGCAACATATAGCAACCTGAACAAAAAAGTCGTATCTCTGAAGAAAGGAGAAATTAACCTTGAGAATATTTCCACAATAACCTGAATGTAATATTAGTATGGAATTGATGAATGGCCTCAGTACAATAAAAACGTTATTCTTATTAAGCGATAAATGTTTATGTTTCTTTTATTTGACTGAATTTTTTAGCTTTAACTGTCAAGTCTATACATTAACTTTTATAGGGCAAACAGTTAACTACAGATCCCTGCACTGTTGATGTTTTTTTTTAACAATTTTACAATTGTGTATAGTAATCTGAATTAAATGCAACATTAAATACGGGTGTACTGACACACAATCTTCAAATCTCGTTCAAACACAAGGTGATATATTTGTATAGACAATGACTGACGGCGATTCCTTTACTGATCTGTCGTTACCTGAAACCAAACCTTTCGGTAGTCATCTTTTATTGACTTAAAGCAGCATAATGAACTTATTTCAAAACCTTGAAGCTATTTCTGTAACATTGATATAATGAAATATAATAATAGATAAATTAAACCAGAAATTATACATACAATTATAAGGTTATTAAGAAATTATGTTTATTTACAGCGCAATTGCGCAAATGACTCTGGAAATTGAAGCATATTCGAGGCGCTTGAGGTTACTTATAATTCATTTAAAGGCACATTGAGCCTACAAAATACTATCATATAATCACTTATCTTTTTTTAATTTGGTATAATGTTACAGTAACCAGAACATTATTCATTGGCCAACTAGATAAATAAACTATTGCTTGTTCTTTATATCTAGTTTGTAATTGGTATAATTATAAAGATTAAGGATTTTGCATGGATGTCAACTGTCTAATTTGTTAACATTTTACTACTTGAAGACACATGCCGTTAAGTAGAACTTTTTTATTCGTTTTATATATAATATGCTATAAATCCATTATATTAACATTATTAAACAAATGGTTGACGTTTCTTAAAAAGGAAAAGCAAGAAATGTATTGATGACTTAGTCATAATATGCCGTCAATGTGTTCATCCATGAGTAGATTGAGTAAAGTAACATTTCAGTTTAGTGTACGAGTCTGACAGAGACTATATCGGATAGCAGTTTAATGTATATTTTGATAGAACACGTGGTGGTTTGTTTCTGGAAGTTCACAGAGACACAGTAGTGTGTATTTCATTGTCTGAATCGGTGAACACTTTAAAAACGACACTCAATTTGTAGACGTGCATATAATACTTTTCTAATGTCTGTATGAAACACGGGCTATTTTATTTACATGTTATAATTCAGAAGACATAGGCAAATAAAGAAGGTTCTGCGAAAGGTCGTTCCTGTTTCTTACAAAAGAATGTAAAAAATCATTATAATAGGCATTTGTTCCTGTGCTTGAACTTCGAAGATAAGACTATGTCGTAATGTTTTCACTGTAGAAGGTCGAGAAATTATTGGAAAGAGTTTATTTTTCAATCAGCAAAAAATAAAAAAATGCAATTTATTATTTAAGTCTTAATATTCGCTGCAGTCTAAACATTCGCAAAGGATGGCTTCTAGATAGCAAAGCGTCCATGCAACTGTAAAATTTGCTACAACCAATGCCATTTCTAAAGGCTTCATCTCTCTCGGATTATTGCAATAGAGAAAAACAGAATCCCTAAAGAAAGCAAAACACGGCATAATTGTAAAATGTTGCAGGCTCGGTTTGATCGAGTCTGTTCATGGACGGTACTGAAAAGTGCAAGTTACCTTCCATCCCCCAGCACCGACTTAAGCAGAATTCAACATTTAAACACACACATTGAGACATTTTGAATTTTGAAACATCCGCAGATATGTTAATACGGCGGTAATCATGGAACCTTCAATGTGACACAGAAGTTTCATTCCACGAAAAGCGGCGTGTGGTCCCCAAATAAAAAAATGCGTGTGTCCTAAACGAGAAAACAATGGGAGGAACTAAATGACATGAAAGTTTGAAAGAATATCTGAGGTTATGAAGCCTGCATATCACAGGCAAGACGTCAACAAACAAATTTAAAAAGCAGGTAACATATCTTAAGGGTGATTATACAGTATTCAAGTAGGAATACTGGAATCACCCAAATTGAAAAAGGTCATATACAAGGAACTAAAAATGTAATTTAAAATGTAAAAACAACAATTATGTCGTGCTAAATGATCTTCAAGGGTCGTAAATATAACTGCATTGATAAAATGTACGGGGATACTTTTTACAGCCGCCACACGGCACAAATAACACGGATGTGACAATGAAATAGAGAAAAAACAGAATCCCTAAAGAGAGCCCAAAACGGCAAAATTGTTAAATGTTTCAGGTTCGCTTTGATTGAGCCTGTTCATGGACGGTGCTGAAAAGTCCAAGTTACCGTCCATGCCCCCAAGCACCGGCTTAAGCGAACTTCAACATTTAAACACAAAAAATTGTAAAAATTTTAATTATGAAACATCCGCAGATGTGTGCATATGGCGGTTATCATGGAACCTTCAATGTGACACAGAAGTGTCGTTCCATGAAAAGCGGCGAATGGTCCCGAAGTACAAGAATGCGTGTGCCCTAAACTAGAAAACAATGGGCGAAACTAAATGAAATGGAATTTTGAAAGGGAGTCTGAGGTTATGAAGCCTGCATATCACAGACAAGACGTCAGAAGACAAATTTAAAAAGCAGGCAACATACCCTAAAGATGATTTTACAGTATTCAAGTAGAAATACTGGAACCACCCAAGTTGAAAAAGGCCAAATACAAAAAACGAAAAATACCATCTAAAATGTATACACAACAAGTTCATTTGCCTTGTATTGAGTGCAATATAGACAGCATCGGCGTACTCTAGAATATTAAAAAGTCTGATGTAAGACATATCGAGAAATATTTGGTTTTGCAAAGCATCAAGTGGAAAGAAATGAAATATGATGTTTACATATAACTGATATTGTTTCATATTTAGAGAGATTGGACATGACTAACCGTTTGCTTCTCGTAATCAAGCACACTTATTATCGACCGCGTTTATTATTTGCATTTTTAAAATTTTTATATATGTTTTATGATCCCCCTTATCGGGCTACTACAGTATTTAATTTTGGTAATTTTTTGGACGGGGTTTTAAAAAAACAATACTGAAAATCCCAAATGGTTTTAAAAATTTTTTTTTGCATGTAAAGCATGCACTATCGGTATTAATTTGGATATTTTTTGAAGGGTTTAAAAAGAATAAGTGTTCGAAATTTTAAAAATCAGATGCTTGTTCAAATCTTTCCCATTTTCGAAAGTCAAGTATCAAAAAAATTAGAGGGAAAACAGTTTTTAAGTGAGTAAAACCTTTTTATAATAAAGCATCGAAGATGTATTTCCCTTCGTTTTTTTGCGTCGTTCTATCGTAAAATGCATTTAAGAATTAAATTTTAAAAAGGTTAGTTCAGTAAGTAACTAATAAGGCCTTCCCACTAAGCGTTTTGTAAACGATAACAAAAACTTAAGTGTTTATTTATCTCTATATTAACTGTAAAGTTAGATCGACTTTCGTTACAACCAAATTTAACTACAAAAATTGTTTTTTTTTTTATTTAAGGGTTAGGGTTAGTAATAATTTTTATTTTATTTGCGTTCGATATGCTATACAGCTTGTACAAATTTTAAAGTATCAAATTTACTTCGTTATCTAACTGTCCTAGTTAACTATATCTGAGTTATCAGATTGAACTATAAATTGACACCTTAAAACAAACTAATATATACATGACATGATATAAATGTTAAACTTGAAAATAATATGACACATCTATACGACAAAGTAAAGAATTATC